GTTGAATTTTGTTGAATGCTTTTTCTGCATCTATTGAGAGAATCATATGGTCTTCGTTTTTGCTTCTGTTTATATGGTGAATTACATTTATAGATTTGCATATGTTGAACCATCCCTGCATCCCTGGGATGAAGCCCACTTGGTTGTGATGGATTATTTTCTTGACAAGGAGGTTTTAAATATTTGTTTGCTCCTATACAGCCATTCGTCTAGTTTTCAGGTTACTCCACCGCTCCATTGATAAGTAATAATTTGTCTGCCTTAAATCAAGAATTTATAAAATACAAAATTAATTAGAACATTTCTTGATAAAATGGTTAATGATAAGTTTTAAAGTATGAATGTGATGTTACTAGCACATACAACAGATACATTTTCTAGTGAAGCAGTGAATCTATTCTTTTAACACCAATATGTAGAAAAAACAATTTCCTTTTGAAGGTTCACTGACAAACCCTCTGACACCAGTGCATAGCATATGGGGGTGGTCAAAATTCCATTTTGAAGTGAAGGGGTCATATTTAATATTAGGTTCAAGGTGGTGAGGATTAGCTTGGTTTCCCTTATCTTTGTTGTCAATTTGAATAATACCCCAATCACCACTTTACTGGGTCCTTGGTAAATAAAAGCTTACTATTTTGTAGATGGATTAAAAAGATCAAGTAGGGGTGTGTGTGTATTTTTATGTAGGTGTATGCAAATAAATATGTGTTCTGTACATATAAAACATCTATTTGTATTTTGATGTTGCTCTTCTCAGTAATATTTTATAATAAAAATGAAGGAAGACTAAATATATTTTCCATCTTTTAAAAGCCTCACATTTTTTAATGAAATAGATATTTAAATGGTTTGCTAAATCAAGAAAGGATGTAATTTTAAAGTATGATGGAAAATGGAAAGTCTCTCATAAGAATAGGGCACATGATAAAGGCTTTTAATGCTCATTTTTCTAAGCATATGTCAATTTTTTTATTTTCTTTTTAGTCTGAATCAGCTATAGAACTCTTAGGGATGATGCTGTTCATTAATTATATCACTCTTAGCAGAAATCACATTACAGAGAGGAAATTGTGATATTATGAGGGCTGAAAATATCTGTGTTTTGGCATAAACCTACCATAATATTTTATCATGCTCCTAAATGCACTTTCCCTAACAAGCAAAACTGTCCAATAACTGCATCAATTTTTAGCTTATATTTTTCTTTTCCTTGGGTTATTTTGTTTCTGTGCACATTTATTTTCTTCAATTTCTTTTTATATAGATGTAACAACATTGCTTTCCATTTCTGGGAAAGTTAGTGAAACTTAAAAGCATAGGTTGCAATCGGTTATTCCACTCCTTCAGTGGGCACTTTATGTAAAAATTGCCCCCAACTAACACCACAAACACAGGGCTTCCAATTTTGCCATCAGTGACATAATTCACATGCTGGCAAGGATCTTAAATGGTGACTCAGAACTGCAGGTGTAGAGAACATTCTTTTATTTTGTCTAACTAGGGTAATTTCTCCATTTCAGCTGGCCTGCTTAAGAGTGGCTAGTCTCAAGGAGTCCCTAGGACCTCTGGAGTGCCCCCAAGACCCTTTCACAGGGACAATGAGGTTCTTTTTCCAACTATGTATCTTGGTGAGGCCAGATTTTCTTCATATACTTCCACCAAAAACAACACATCACAACAAATGGGATGCAAATGCAGTTGTGAACCTCTAGCTGTCTTTTGTTAAGTAAGACATTAATTAGCTGTTTCCAAAATGTGTGACAACTTTGTCTTGTTTTGAAAAATATAGTCATTTATCAGAAAAATATTTAATATTATCATCTGTATAGCATATATAACAAATACTATTGCTATTTTACAATGATTTGTAAGTAAATATTTCTAGATGCCACAGTATTAATTTCTAATATAGTAAATATTGATGGATATAATTGACAGAGAAAAATTCTTTTGGGTACTCAGTTTTTAAGAGTATAAAGACCAAGGAGTTTCAACAAACCAGAATACTTGATTTATCAAAGTATCTGATTCCCCAACTATACTAAATACCAAAACAAAACAAATATAGTTCTGTTTTCAGGGAAGAATCCTAGAGGCTGCCATCTTTCTGATATATATATGTGCTCTAAAATAGGGAATGACTTTATCTTTGTAAAAATGTAAATATACAATGGAGTTGTGTGTGTGTATGACAGAGAGAGAGAGAGGGGGGGAGGGAGAATAAGCTACAAGGATTCACAAAGAAAAAGCCATTCCTATGTATTTAGGTCATTTATCTAAATCAGAACTTAAAGCAGTTTCATAAGCAGAAACTGAGACTCTTTTTCCTACCATTAGTAAGTTCCCTAATAAAAACTGCAATGATCTTAGCACAGGATAATCAAAGAACACAAAAGATTATAAAAGATCAACAAAATTATGGATAGTAAAAGAAAAGCATCAGGACAAATTCTTCAGCCAGGCAACGCTTAATCATGCAGAATTTAAAGTCATTATCATTTGTCAGTATTGATATCTAGTTAACTGATATTGTACACAAATTAATTATATTGTATTTAGTGAATCATTATTCTCTACTAGAATTTCTCAACCTGTTTTTTAAGTTGTCAGCCTCATATAGAGAAAAATTTAAATTTGAATGAAATCTTTCCCTAGAACACTAAAGAATAATAATTTGTTAGGTAAATTACAAACCATTGTAATATATAAGATTCACTGCCCTGCCTCATCCAAAGAACCAGTTTTCACCCCCTTACAAGCAATATTGCTCCAGTTTAGAAGGCACACTCTATATGGATTCAGTTATTCTTAATCATTTTCTGATACCAATCCTTTCTTTTTTTTTGTTTTTTTTCTTCCAGAAATATTTTAATAAAAATTGGCCATTTCTAAGAAGCACCCACTGCATGCCCATCAGAAAAAAAAGAGAACCATAACAAAATAGACCACGTGGCTATGATTTAACGAAAGAAAATTGCAGATACTTGAGCACATCAGCAAAGTCCAATATTAATGTCACATTCCTTCTTATGGGCTATGATTAGGAATCTGCTTAAATACCAACATAAAAATACGAATGCTGAAC